GATCAGTCTGATTCTTAAGCATTTCTTTTATTATATTAACATCTTTATTTCTTTGACATGACTAAATCCTTTCAACAACTGCCGAGAGTCTATTTGAGTTTTTGTTTCAACTAATGTTGCATCCAATCAGGGCCGGACTGGCCCACCGGGATACCGGGAAATTTCCCGGTGGGCCCCGGCATCTGGAGGCTGCGCTGAGTATGTGTGTGCCACTGGGTGGCCAGTCCGGTGGCACACACTCTAAGGGGGCCGGTGGGCTGGCGGCTGCATTCCACTCTGGAGCCACCGGGCCGGTGGCAGCCTCGCCGGTTTGGCGGCCCTCCTCCTGTCACTGATGGCTGAGGAGTGAAGGAGGAGGAGGGAGGAGCATGTCTCTGTACCATGCTCCCTCGCGGTTCCTGTGCTGAGGATTGTGGGAACTGCGAGGGAGCATGGTACAGAGACATGCTCCTCCCTCCTCCTCCTTCACTCCTCAGCCATCAGTGACAAGAGGAGGGCCGCCGGACCGGCGAGACTGCCACCCGGCCCGGCGGCTCCAGAGTGGAATGCAGCTGGCCCCCTGACTCCTCTCAGGAAAATGGGAGGGGGAATATGGGGAATAAAGAGACACAGGGGGAGGGGGAAAATAAAATAGAGGGGGAAAGAGACAAAAGGGAGAGAGATGTGGGGGAGAGACAGTGGTGCTGGGGGGAGAAAGACAGAGGGGGAAAGGATAGAGACACACAAGGAGGGGGAGAAAGAGACAGAGGAGGAAAGGAGAGAGACACACAAGGGGAGGGGGAGAAAGAGACAGAGGGGGAAAGGAGAGAGACACACAAGGGGAGGGGGAGAAAGAGACAGAGGGGGAAAGGATAGAGAAACACAAGGGGAGGGGGAGAAAGAGACAGAGGGAAAAGGAGGGAGACACACAAGGGGAGGGGGAGAAAGAGACAGAGGGGGAAAGGAGAGAGACACAAGGGGAGAGGGGGAGAAAGAGGCAGAGGGGGAAAGGAGAGAGACGCACAAGGGGAGGGGGAGAAAGAGACAGAGGGGGAAAGGAGAGAAACACACAAGGGGAGGGGGAGAAAGAGACAGAGGGGAAAGGAGAGAGACACACAAGGGAGGGGGAGAAAGAGACAGAGGGGGAAAGGAGAGAGACACACAAGGAGAGGGGGAGAAAGAGACAGAGGGGGAACGGAGAGAGACACACAAGGGGAGGGGGAGAAAGAGACAGAGGAGAAAGAAACATACAGAGTGACTGGGGGAGGCAAAAAGGCACACAGAGGGACTGGAGATAAAGAGACACACATAGGGGCTGTATATATCACTGGTGGATCGGGGGGGGAGGCAACAGGGCAATTCCTCCCCCCACCGTGCAACACACACTGCCCCCCATACACACACTGCCCCCACACACACCATACATATTCACATACTGCCCCCCATACACACATTGCCCCATACACACACACACACTGCCCCCACACACACATTGCTGCACACACACATACACAGCCCCCCCATACACACATTGCCCCACACACCCTACACATTCACACACATACACTGAACCTTTCACACACACTGCACCCCTCACACATTGCACCACTGCTCCTATACCCTACTACAGCCCCATATCCCAGCAGACCCCAGATAAGTTGTCAAACTGTTCTTAAACAGTTTGACTACTTACTCTGGGAGGGGGTCCCGGCACTCCTTGCACCATAACCACTACACAGAGCAGTAGTGGTTATTGTGCATGGATTATTTCTTTAAATAATCTACAAGTGTCCCTCCCGGGATCAGGCTCTGGATCCACCACTGGTATATGACATGTATATTAATGTGTATTTGTTTTATATATATATATATATATATATATATATATATATATATATATATATATGCCTATTATATTTACAAATATATTAATGAACATTTATACATGCATAATACACAGATAAATGTCATTAATATGTACCATTTGTAATGAGCAGTTATTGGCCCAGTCTTGTTGCTAGATGCAGACTCCATCACAATAACATATTTAAAGTGAAGAGCACACCCACAGGACTTCAAAAGATAACGTCATTTTGTTACAGTTGTGCCCTACATACATTCACCATTTCAGTCCCATTACCAAGCTTTCCTTAATATGTCAAGGTAGTTGGACTGAAACATTGATTACATGCAAAGGCACGTCTGCTTAAAATAAATCTGCACTTTTGTTTATTTTGAAGCCTATGAGTGCTTTTCTTTTTACGTTGGAGTAAAAATTTTTAATTTTAAGTTCTCTTTTCTAACTCTGTATCTACACACTATGCTGGCGCGACTCATTATGGGGCTGGTAAATATTTTTTTTCCAGGGCTGCTTTTAATTCCCAGTCCGGCCCTGCCTATGATAGCCCAAGAATGAAAATTACCCCTATGATGGCATACCATTTGCAATAGTAAACAACCCAAGGTATTGCAAATGGGGTATGTCCAGTCTTTTTTAGTAGCCACTTAGTCACAAACACTGGCCAAAATTGGCATTTTTGCATTTTTCACACACAAACAAATACTAACGCTAACTTTGGCCAGTGTTTGTGACCAAATGGCTACTAAAAAAGACTGGACATATCCCATTTGCAATACCTTGGGTTGTCTACTATTGCAAATGGTATGTCATTATGGGTGTAAATTTAATTCCTGGGCTACTATACAGTCTCAAAGGCAACATAACCAATCTGGCGAATTTCAATTTCGAATGTAACGTCCTATATTTGACCGTGTAACTTCCCAAAACGCCATAAAACCTGTACATAGGGGGTACTGTCTTACACGTGAGACTTTGCTGAATACAAATATGTGTATTTTATTGCAGTAAAAGCAAACAGTATTATGACATTGACAGTTAAAATGTCATGTAGAACTAAAAGAATTTAAAAAATCTTATTTTCTCCCATTTTTTCATATTAAATTATGTTTCATAGCTAAATATTTGATATTAAATGAAAGCCCTGTTTCCCCTGAGTAAAATGATATATAATAAGGGTGGGTGCATTTACTATGAAAGAGGTGAATTACGGTTGGACAGACATGTAAGGCAAATGCCAGGTTTTGTTTACATTTTGTTTTGTTCACAACGTTTACATTTGGCTCTGTCCTAAAGGGGTTAACTAACACACCAATCTCTGTTTTCAGTGTATCTACTCTTTCATTTTTCTTTTTTTCATTTTATAGTTTAGCAAATCTAAGTGCCTTTTTACATTATCGGCTTCCTTATATCTTATACAGAATGCCTTATTTTTCATCTCTTGGCTTACTTTACCACTAAGTCACATTGGTTTCAATTTGTTTATTTTACATGTATTCATGCAAACACTGAGTAATGTACCTTTCTGATATTTATTTGAAGATATTCCATTTATTATCTGTGTTTTTTTCACTAAAGAGGCTATACCTAACCAGTCAATATGCTGTCAGGGGCGTACCTAGAGCATTTGGCACCCGGGGCGGATCCTGTATTTGTCACCCCCCGCCCTCTGTCCCCCCACTTTAAAATGTAAAAAACACTCACAATATTTTCAGTGTTTAATGTTTTTAATTGTAAAAATTGCACCAATGTGTAAATTATGAAAAAAAATCTGCCCTGCCCTCATCTACAAAACCCCTCTACTGCTCGCCATTGTGCAAAATGCATGTCCTGCCCCTGTTCTACAAAACACCTGTAGCCCCTTCAACAAATCCCCTGCTCAGCCCCCTTTAAACAAATTCCCTGTCCCCCTTCTACAAACCCCTGCACCCCTTCCATAAAACTCCTGCACCCACCCTTCCCAAAAAAACCTGCCTCTCCCTCTAAAGCCCCTGCTCAGCCCTTTACAATAGAATTCATTGTTTTACACAACAATATTAGCAACACTTACACATAGTCACATACACAGTTACAGGCAGAGAGTCACACAGTTAAAGGCAGACAGTCACACAAACAGTTACAGACAGTCATGCATACAATTACAGGCAGATAGTCACACACACAGTCACAGGCAGATAGTCGCACACACACACACACACACACACACACAGAGTTAGAGGCAGCATTCTCCAATCACAGGATGACAGTCACAGACACACACACACACTCACTGGCACAGTGTCACACACAGACAGTCACAGGCAGGCACTAACACACAGAATCACGGGCAGACAATCACACACAAACACAGGCAGACAGTCACACATACACACACACACATACAGACACACACAGTCACAGGCAGACAGCACACACACAGTCACAGGAAGACACACACACACAGTTACAGGCAGGCATTCACACACACACACACACACAGTCACAGGCAGACAGTCACACACACAGTCACAGGAAGACACACACACACACAGTTACAGGCAGGCATTCACACACACACACACACACAGTCACAGGCAGACTGTCACACACACACACAGACAGTCACAGGCAGTCACACACACAAACTCACAGGAAGACAGTCACACACACACACACACAGAATCACAGGCAGACAATCATGTGCAGCAGTGACAGCAGTGGGTGGAGGCTGTGTTTAGCTGCTGATTTGGCTCCAAACCTGTCCATGCCGCACAGCTCACACATCCTAAGGCCGCCCTGGTCATGACACCCTACTAGCGAAGGGCACCCATGGCGCACCGCTACCCAATTAGTATGCCACTGAGTTGTTCATAAACTTTTTAGGTTCAAGGCGCCCTTAATATTTCAATATTTTCCAAGGCGCCCCAAGACAAAAAAAATTCTAAGTTGTATTTATATAGAGCGCTGCAACATATATAGGGCCCCGTTTGGCAGAAATGCTTGCAGTTCATGGTGCAGATCCAGAACCTAATCTTGGGAGGGGTACTAGTAGATTATTTAAAGAAACAATCCCGGCACAATAGCCACTACAGCACCCTGTAGTGGTTATGGTGCCAGGTATCTGCCAGGATAGGGGCTGTAGTAGGGGATAGAGGCGCAGTGTCTGTGTGTGTGTGAGGGGTGCAGTGTGTGAGGGTTGCAGAGTGTGTGCGTGTGAGGGGTGCAGTGTGTGTAGCAGCTCGTGAGGCTAGAGTTTACTCTCGCGAGGTTCGGATAGTTGCCGTGGTAACCGCGGCAATGCTCCGAACTCGTGAGAGGAGAACCCGGCAGAGCTGCAGGTTAGAGCTCCCCAGGTCCTCTCTCCCTCCCCTGCTGGCTGCCAGCATTATAGTGCTAGCGAGCCGGTAAGGGAGAACTCTGATCTCCCCTCCAGTCCTGCACAGCCAGCAGGGGTGACCATGGCACGGACAGTTCCTGGTGCCATGATCATAGCAGTGGGGAAAACATTTTGCGGTACTCCTGTGTGCCCTCACTGTTTGGGAACCGTTGCTATGTAACAAAGCTCACACTTGTGTGAAAATTATGCCCTGGTGAGTGTGCCAACAACCCGCCGAACTTGAATTGAAAATTAACTTCAAATCCTGGCTTGTGGTGTAGGACTTCAAATTTTGAGGCCTGCTATATAGCGGCACATTATAAAAGAAGGATTGTTAAAAATTCTATTATAGAGGTACATTTTTTTAAAGGGTTACTGTAAATTCATTTTCACCTTACAATTTTTTTACTTCTAAGACTCTATTTGGCCCTACCAAATGTGCCCTGATTTGGCTTTAAACCTCTAAACTTTAGCTCTAAACTTACTTGGAATCCAGCACTAAACAAAGCTTCCCTCACTTTATTCCACACCTCCCACCATATCATCAGTGCTCTCTCATGGTCCAGTGAAATGCTTCTCAAAGAGAAGCATTTGATTGGATCGTTTTCCTGGCTCAGGGTGCATGTGTCCACCCCGAGCAGGGTAGTGAAGAGAGGGGGTGGGACAAGGGAGGGAGGTAATTAAAAAGCAAGGAGATTGGGATGGCAGGGAAGACTCTCATACGGAAAGTTAGGCTTCTCATGCAGACAATGCTCCCAGCACTACCTGCAAGGGAGAAGCTGACCACATGTGTTGACAGCACACTATGCACAATGACACAATCTTTGCACAGAATTAACATTAGACAGAGTTCAAGGCTGCCTAATTCACGTGTGCTCTGGGTGCAACTAGCCCCTGGAACAGAAGTGCATATATCTCTGTATGCACAGAGTTTCAAGCTGAAAAGTGGCACATACATACTCGCACCACCATGCCCACTTTTAAAATCAAAAGTGATCATGGTGGTTGGAGTAATCTTTTAATTAAATGGCTTTGTAATATTGTACTTTTTGGGGATTTGGTTTATAGATAAGGTATATACATAATTTTTCTAAGGTATATACATAATATGTAGACCCTGGAGTTATGTATATGGGCAAAATTACATAATTCTAGATCAATATTTCTATTTATTGAGGCACTCCCTGCAACGTTCACGGCGTGTGATCCTGGCACAGTATGATAATCAGTTACTGCATTGTGTAAAAGGACAGTAATAGCATATTGACAGAACCTGAGTTACATTTTAATGCTTCTACGAAAAGAATCTATTTCTTGTTCTTGGTCTCATAAGGTTCATATACAACACAAGGTGCATTGTTAATGGTTTTGTAGAATACAGAACTGTCCTGTTTACATATGCACAATTCAATAATATATTTTTTTAAAGAAGTAGTAAAACGTTACACAGATTTTGCTATTAATAATCACTAGTGCCTACAACTCTGCCAAATTTTCTCAGTTTAAGGTGATATGCTTGGTATTGGTGTATATGGCAAATATAGATACTTATGTTTATGAAGAATTTATAAGCAAACCCAGAATGATTCGATTGTATTACAAAGTAGACAGATAGGCCCAAAAAAGGTCATACGATTCCAACAATGGAAGCCTCTCCAATACATGAAAAAATATATCTAATATATGAAACATTTGAAATGATAGTAGGAGACAATATAAAGCACATTAAAAGGCCACGAGGCTATGTTACATGAAGGCAGGGCCGGACTGGGAAAAAAATTCGGCCCGGGCATTTTTTTATCACAGCGGCCCACTAAGAAGGGGGCGGGGCAGAGAGGGTGTGTTTTGTCATCACTCATGACAAACACGCCCCCTCTCAAAGTGAGCATGTTGGTTCAATGCTCTTCCAGGGCAGACCATGCACAGAGTTCTGCTGAAGAGCTCTTGCATGAGAAAAAAGCCCTGTATTTGTTCTGCGCAGTGCAAGCAAATTTAATAACATGCTTGCACTGTGTTTCCTTGCAACTTGTCTCTGGTGTCTCTATAAATGGATACCAGGAGACAAATGGGTCAGGAAAGAGTATTGTGCATGTGTTTTGGAGCCTGCTTGGGGTATTGCGTGTGTGCAGAGTGAGCTGGTCGTGGTGTGGTATTGTGTAATAAGGTCGGTTTTAGTCGTGTTGTGTTTGTGGTGTAATGTAATGCATATGTGGCTAGGGGCTTTAGAGAATGTGTGTTTAGGGGATGTAGCAAGTGTGTGTATACAGGCTATAGTGTGTGTGTGTAGGTGATGTAGTGTTTGTAGAGTGTGTGTTCAGGGAATGTAGTATGTGTTTGCTTATAAGGAATCTAGTGTGCGTATAGGGGATCCAGAGTGTGTGTGTGTTTGAAGGACCCAGAATATGTATAGGAGATCTAGTGAGCGTGCGTATATAATGGATTCAGAGTGTATATAGGGATCTAGTGTGTGTATGTGTGTAGATGATCCAGAGTTGGGTAGAGGATCTAATGTGTGTCTGGAATGAAATGTGTTTAGGGGTGCTGTGTGTGTGTGTGTGTGAGGGGTGCTGTGTGTGTGAGGGGTGCTGTGTGTGTGTGTGAGGGGTGCTGTGTGTATATTTATATGTGTATATATATTATATAAATATGTTTGGAAGTATTGTGTATGTGTGTTAGGCAGTGTATCGTGGGGTTGTGTGTGTATGTGAGGAGTGCAGTATGTGTGTGTGATGGATCCTGTGTGTGAGGTGTGGGTGCTGTGTGTGGGTGCTGTATGTGATTGATTTGTGTGAGGGTGCTGTGTGTGTGGGTGCTGTGTATGATGTGTGTGAGAGTGCAGAGTGTGATGAGTGTGTGAGAGTGCTGTGTGAGTGCAGAGTGTGATGAGTGTGAGAGTGCTGTGTATGATGTGTGTAAGAGTGCAGAGTGTGATGTGTGTAAGAGTGCAGAGTGTGATGAGTGTGAGAGTGCTGTGTATGATGTGTGTGAGAGTGCTGTGTGTAAATGTGTGTTGGGGGGGTAAATAAAAAACTAAGGGGGTTGGGGGGGTAAATAAAGAAATTTTAAAAAAAAACCTAAGTAGGCATTAAATCCCCCCTCCCACTTACCTTTAGCCTGGGAGGGGGGACCGGCATGGTGGTAGCTGGGAGGAGGGGGGACCGGCACACTCACATCATCCCTGGTGGTCCAGTGGTGAGTGAACTCTAGCCTGCGGGCTAGAGTTCCCTCTCGCGAGATCCGGTCGTTGCCATGGCAACGCGCCGGATCTCGCGAGAGGAACCCGGCGGAGCTGCAAGATAGAGCTCCGCCGGGTCCTCTCCCTCCCCAGCCGCCGGTCTATTTAAATGGGCCGGTGAGGGAGCTCTTTGATCTCCCCACCGGCCCTCCGTGGAAGACAGCAGGGCCGGCGCTCGGATAGTGCCGGCCCTGCATAGACCGGCAGGCCAGTCCGGGCCTGCATGAAGGCATCAGACAAAACTAATCTTAGAAGATACAAGGTTACTGTGAATGGCCTAAACTACCAACTATTTCTCAGAAGGAGCAATTCACCAGGGTCTTATACAAGGATGTCTCTTGATGCCATGAAGAGCCAAGAAAGGGTCTCGATAAATTAGATTAAACCTTAAACAATACTACTAGAGACCGCTCTTCTGGTGATATACCAGATGGAAATTGTGAAGTGCAGTAAATTAATATGTCTAGCAAACTTATGCTAAGCGAAACATTCAAAAACAGCAATATTGAAGTAGCAGGCTGAGGCTCTACGTGGTAGCGAGGTAAGCCAAGGGTCAAAATAGTTTGTTTCAATTGATGTGTCTCCATTCATTTGGATACACTCTGGACTAGCTTGAACTGAGTGAGTGATAGTTTAGTTAGCAGACATACCACAAAACCTCCCTGGAACACCTACCACAATAGTATTAGAATAAGAGGTTCCCCCGAAATAGACAAAGGTACGAAAAAGTTGTTTAGTAGAAATGCCCCAATTTGCACAAAATACACAATTTCTTATCTATAGTTGAGTGACTGATAATTATTAAGCTAGTTTAGTGCTACAACCTCCCTTAGCATCTACTATGAAGCCTCCCCCATCAGCAACCTAGTGGAATAAATAAAAAAGTGCTCAAATCATAAGTGAAAAATGTGAGCCAAAAGTCGACGCACGTTTCGGCACCAAAATAGCGCCTGTGGAATGGGTCTATGCTGTTACTTAAATATTTCTGTTTTTGAATGTTTAGCCTGGCATAAATTAGTTGTTAGGAATATTAATTCACTGCACTATATTATTTCCACCAGGCATATCAGCAGAGGAGTAGTCTCTAGTATTATTGTTTACATTTTAATCTAATTTATTGATAAGTATTGTAAGTTATATTTATAATTCTTTATTTTTGCAGTGCATTGCAATCATATAGTTCTTCATCAATATGAGTAATATAAACAATAATAAAGATATATGTTAAACAAGGCAGGAATTATGCACCATTTTTTTCAAGAAACAAGGTAATTGTAAACTAAGGATATCAGAATGTTATACAAGTCGATAAAGAGTATGAAAGGATAACTCATGCACTGAAAATCCCCAGTTGTAGATAGGTACATATAAGCCCAGCGAGGAAACCCCGAGTAGAACAAGGTAAATGAGATACTCAATAGCGTATATATGAGTGTAGGGACATGCTGTGGCAAGTTAAAAACCTAGGATGCTTAAATCAAGTAAGCAAAATGGGTGGTAAGCCTACTGGACGAGTGCAAAGTATTTGTATGCAAGAATTTCACAACTAAGGAATAGTGAGTAGGGGAGCATGCATCCAGGTTGGTAGCCCATAACCAAGGGGGCAGAGAGGGTGGTGGTGGGGGGGAATTAGCGTGTTTTGCGACACATATTAGAGGTGGGAGGTCTAGCACTCTCTTAAAAGCTGTGGCGTACATATCAGGAATGTTCCTGAATTAAACTGTGTGCTCCTCAGACAGAGTCATAGGTGTGAGATACTCACCAGGTGAAACCAAACAGTGCAAAAAAAGTAGTGCCAACTCAAATAAAGCAAATGAAAGCATGAACACTTTAGGACTATGTAGGCCTGTCATGGACACCCGTTGGTTGTGGAACCGGTGGAACAGAGGCAGACATCAATCCACAAGCATAGGTAACATTCCATGGTACCTATGCTTGTGATCCTCCAGCCCTTGGGACAAACTGGGTGATACTAGCCGGGTCCCAAGACACCCATGGATACTTTTTGGAAGCTTTTCGGTCATGGGTGCATTCGGGAGAGTCATTCCCAGTTTTTTAGGAAAGCTGATGCCTCCTCCATCGAATTAAGGACATGCGCAGTCCCGGAGTGGGTTACCACCAAAGAGCCATTAGCTCCCCTTCTATAGCCCAAGCATGCTGATCGTAGTTGAGAAGTACCAGGAGCATAGGTGTTTTAGCATAGAAGAGTGGCTCTGGTGAGATCCTGGTAAAAGGTGAGAGTAGAATCCTCAAATGATAGAGGTGTCTTGCCTTTCAGGGCACTCATTATTTGGATTTTGTCCTGTACTTTGATGCAGCAAAGTATAACGTCTTGGACCATGTTTGGCTTTGAGTGGATAGTGCTGGAAACATGGTAGAGTCTGCCAATAGCTAGTTTCCTTGCTACAGCATGGGTCAGTATGGTGGCCAGAAGACATCTGGTATAGTGTGGCAGCTCTTCCTCCATCATAGTAGCGGGGATGCCACAAATTTTGATGTGAGTGTGGCTTAGGAGGTCTTCCATGGCCGTGAATATGTCTCTGGAGTTGTTGCACTAAGTCACTTTAGTATGTATGTCTGCAATGTCCTCCTCCGAGGCTCTTACCCGATCCATGATGGCATGCACTTTAGTTTTAAGAAGAGTGGAATTAGCCACTAGTAGCTTGTGGATGTCCGTTAGCAAGACTTTCAGGTCACATCTGGTGGTAGGAGCTGAATCATCTTAGGGTTCAGAAGCTGGGCGATGTGGAGCATGAGAGTTTAGCAATGTCTTCCGCAGGATCTGAGTTGTGCTGAGCCAGCCTCTGTAACATAGACATAAAAATGGAACACTAAAAATTATTTATTATATATAGATTTATCCAGAACTGTGTTTAAAATACACAAATGTTGACAAAACTTAAAAAACGGTAAATATAAAATTTTCACATACTCTAGAGATTAATTAACCAGTAAGTTATTTATAGACATGTTTTATGTTCTTTGTATAGTTATGCATGAAAAAAATCAATAATTTTATCTATTGTATAAGGGCACAGGGATCTGTACTGATTACATTTACCTTTCCCTCTGGATTTTAAAGCCATTTTACATTGGACTTTGCTATTTATTGCTCTAAGAAAAGATCGTAAAACGTTCCTATGGCGTGGTTAAAAATGAGTTTATAATTGATATGTTTTAGGTACAAAGGACTTCTAAATATGGAGGAGAGATAATTTTCACACAGAACATTTGCATCATTGGCAGATCCAGGCGGTCACCTCCAAGGTTAAATCTGCCTCCGAAGAAGTCCGATGCATTCATGCCTGGCCGGCAGTTTAGCTGAATGAAAATCCTTTCAAATGCCTGTAGCCATATTGTATATATGAATCTGTGTATCCATTTCTGTGTGGTTGTCTATGTTTGTATGGTTGATGGTATGTGGGTCCAGATATTTGCGCTTGAACCTCTGTATGAGTGTATGTTGTTGAAGTATTTGTCACTGTACCAAATTTTGCAAGTGCATGTGTGTGTGTTCAAATGTATGTGTTTATTTTAAAAAAGTAAAACAAAACACAAAATTCAGTAGTGCACCCATCAAAATTTGGGTTCTGGAGCTCATCGTAACTTGTATGTTCAAGAAATTAATGAGTGCATGTTAACTCTTTTATGTCCAAGGATTTAACCAGAACAGTCATCATATAAAGGGATTTGCATGACCTCCTGCCACTTTGCCAGCAAGATGTTAAACTAGTATTATAATAAATAAAAATATGTACGGTTCTTCAGTTGCCCTGATGACATGCGACCATGTTCTGATGTTAGATAAGGCATTGAAAATGTTGTGTTCTTGTGCTTTTCTGTGTGCTTGGTAGAAAAGTTACATTTGATGATAACTTTCAACCTGATCAATGATTAGTTTTTATAAGAAACAGGCTTTATTACAACTTTCATTTTAACTGGTTATAATAAAAGTATTTTTTTTTCCAGTTTAAAACAGATTTCTTTACTTCAGCATTCAACATATGTCTTTTAAATTGCAATTGATGGCAAGTAAAATTCCTTAATGTATCAGTATTTAACACTATTTAACACTATTTAATAGTGCCATTTTAATTTTAGCCAAAAGGATTGGGTTGTATATTAGGTTTTGTGATTTTTATATTGCCAATAGTTTCTAATTATATATAAAATATTAAATAATTGTAATTGATAATGTAATTATTCAGTAAAATTTGAATTGTCTAGCTGTATTGGAAATTTTCCCCAAGTCAGCTGTATTTCCAATTCATCTATTTCGGCCTTAAATGTGAAGTTCACTTCAAATTAATATTGAATTTCTCACAATTCACAATTTAGTAGACAAACCTGCAAGTTAATATCAACAGAACTGCTGCTTAGGGCTTGGTGCTTTCAACATAGTAACCTGTGTTTTTATTTTATTGGACATTGGATAAAATTGTCATCACTTAGCTAATAGGATACAGAGCTCAGTAACTGCATGGCCTCCACCATTACGCAAGGTTGCAAATGACCAATTATTCAGTAGATTGATTTAAACTGTACCTGTTCTACAATTCTCCTCTTTTTGGGGAAGCAAGGAAAGAGCAGGAATCCCTGAAATCAGAGGGTTATGATTCCTTCAGTTGACATGACAGCAGCAAGTTGTGTCTTGAGCATGTGTCATGGTCCAGTTAGTTCCTCATGGATTTTTTTTCACTTGATCTCTCAAGAACCTGCACACAGGGGCTGATGATGGCCTCTCTGGGATGTCCTACAAGGTGAGTAAATGAGGATATTCCAAGGCTACATCATGTCAGCCGCTGTACACTTACCCTGACAGTCCGCCGAGATGCCGACGCTCTGACCTGGCAGGCCGCAGTTTCCACGCAGTATGAGGCTCCTGACAGCCTCGAGGACGCTGGCCGCTCTTTTTTATGAAGCGCTGCACGCGTGCTGGCATCATGATATGACAAGAGCTCTAAGTAATAGAGCCCCCAAATATATAAAATCCCAGTCTTCCCAAAGTACAGGGCCCTGTTGTGGTTTCTAGTGTTACTAGTGTCCCTATAGCGCATTCTTTTGTCCCTTTTGGTATTCATTAGTATTGACCCGACTTGCTCTTGACTGCTCTGTTTTCTGACTCGAGGCCGCTGGCTGCTTTGCGCCCGCCATTTTTTATGAAGCGCCGCACGCGTGCTGGCATCATGATATGACAAGAGCTCTAAGTAATAGAGCCCCCAAATATATAAAATCCCAGTCTTCCCAAAGTACAGGGCCCTGTTGTGGTTTCTAGTGTTACTAGTGTCCCTATAGCGCATTCTTTTGTCCCTTTTGGTATTCATTAGTATTGACCCGACTTGCTCTCGACTGCTCTGTTTTCTGACTCGAGGCCACTGGCCGCTTTGCGCCCGCGCTTTTTTATGAAGCGCCGCACGCGTGCTGGCATCATGATATGACAAGAGCTCTAAGTAATAGAGCCCCCAAATATATAAAATCCCAGTCTTCCCAAAGTACAGGGCCCTGTTGTGGTTTCTAGTGTTACTAGTGTTCCTATAGCACATTCTTTTGTCCCTTTCGGTATTCATTAGTATTGACCCGACTTGCTCTCTACTGCTCTGTTTTCTGACTCGAGGCCGCTGGCCGCTTTGCGCCCGCCGTTTTTTATGAAGCGCCGCACGTGTGCTGGCATCATGATATGACAAGAGCTCTAAGTAATAGAGCCCCCAAATATATAAAATCCCAGTCTTCCCAAAGTACAGGGCCCTGTTGTGGTTTCTAGTGTTACTAGTGTTCCTATAGCACATTCTTTTGTCCCTTTCGGTATTCATTAGTATTGACCCGACTTGCTTTCGACTGCTCTGTTTTCTAGCACCCTTAACTTGGCTTTGTTTATCACTCTTGTGTATCTCTGGCTCCCCTGACTCTGCTTTTTTCTCTTGATTTAGTGTTTTTTTTGGCTTCCTTTGACCTTGGCTCTTTCTGACTATCCTTGAATTATTATTATTATTCTTTATCCGGCCATTCTAAGGACCGGTTTAAGGACTTTCTATCTGTCTCCATTTACAGGTGGGATTTCACTCTGCGTGTTGGGTTGTAAGTTATACATCAGCTATCCCAAGGTGAATCCAACAAGTGTGGCTAGGCATCTTTTCGGATCAACCCTTGGCTGCTATAACCCAAGTTTTGTTCCTTGCTACAAGGGGGAGACATATGCCAAGGCCTAGCTGCCCTGTTCCCTCTCTATGCTGCACCAGGTTCTGCAGACTTTAAAGACATCTCAGCAGAAAAATATACAAGTGTTTAGTTCATCTTTATTTACTTGTTGGTTGTTTATATGTTTTATTGTATAATTTATTTTTATAAAATGGCCATCAGTGTAATACATTTTACACACGCCTTAATTTGAAATAATTTACAATGCAATTATTCCTTTGTAAGTTCTGTTGTAGTATATGAATGTTAGATATATTTATCAATTGACTTTATATAGCACACTATGTGATAAGTATCATATTTTAATAATTACAGTATATTCAAAAGGTTAATATTGACATTGACCTATTCACAATAAGTGTCACTTTCCCATGTGAAAATTTTTAAGGTGTCTTCTATTTGAGTCTGAGAAAACTAAAACTCTGTTCACATGCAAATCCTATTCGTTAGCAATTGTATTGTGAAAATTGTCAGAAAATGGGATGCGATAAACAGGGGACAAGAAATATATAGAGGTTGCAAAAACAACATCTACAGTGATTGGTATAACAAGAGTCAGCATTTTGTCAGACCCAGTACCTGGGTTTTACATTAAAAGTTAGTACATACAAATATATATAATTGCTATTGCGAACCTCATCTCCCCTACATATGGTAATTCAATACATGTCCATTGTAGTACATTTCAATGATATATTCTATATTCTATTTTATGTGAAAATTGTTCATGTCATAGAATGTTAGAAAAGTAAATCATGATGTTTATTCTGTATATTGGCTCATTGAAAAGTCATAAATATTGATGACACCTCAGTTTACATGTCTTTACTTTTAGATTATCCCTTAGCACTAATTGCTAGGTCACCTATAGCCAGAGAAGGTTGTATAATTAACTAGAATTGGAATAATTTAGCAAAACTTCAGTTAAACTAACCTTTAACAACAGTTATTAGTGTGCTAAATAACTACTCCCTGATGTAGTTGATTTATAGTGACCATAGCAAACACAATTACTGTTAGCATAGAATATGCTAGCTATTTGGAGTAAGGTATATTTTCAAACACACAGGTTTATTCACTACGACTTGTCAGTAATTCAAAGTTAATTCAAAATTAATTTCAGATGTTAAAGGACCACTATAGGCACCCAGACCACTTCAACTTAATGAAGTGGTCTGGGTGCCAGGTCCAGCTAGGGTTAACCCTTTTTTTATAAACATAGCAGTTTCAGAGAAACTGCTAAGTTTATGTTAGGGTTAATCCAGCCTCTAGTGGCTGTCTCTTGACAACCGCTAGAGGCGCTTGCGTGCTTCTCACTGTGAAAATCACAGTGAGCAGACGCCACTGAATGCGACTGGCTGAATGCGCGTGCAGCTCCTGCCGCGCATGCGCATACAGCTGAGGAGAAGGAGAGGAGGAGGAGAGCTCCCCGCCCGGTGCTGGAGAAAGAGGTAAGTTTAACCCCTTCCTCTCCCCTCAGCGCCACAGGAGTGGGACCCTGAGGGTGGGGGCACCCTCAGGGCACTATAGTGCCAGGAAAACGAGTATGTTTTCCTGGCACTATAGTGGTTCTTTAAGCCAAATTAGAAACACGCGCACGTT